TTTATTTGTAATCTTAATTTTAAGTAATATATATTAATTAACAATATTTCATGTATAAAAAATATTTTTAAAATTTTACCAACAAACTTGACTTTATAACTCAATGCATCTCTTACAAATACCAATGCATGCAAACCATAAAGCAGACTCTTTTTGGGGCTTGTGACCAAACTCTGATTCTCATAAGTTATGTTTGTGGGGCCAATTTTAGAATTTCTTTTCTCCGATTTCAAAAAAATAAATCTTGTTTGACAGAAAAACAATTTGTCTTTAAATGATTGTAAAACTCTTTGAATGATTTTGTATTTTAAGTCTTTCTTAACTATTTAACATCTTAATTTCATCATAAACAATTACCAAACAATTATATTTCAATTGCACTATATCATGAAAGTCTCTTAATCATTCTGTATCAAATCATTCAGCAATTGTCAAACATCCCTTAAGGGGCGGTTTGATTAGCATAATTTTCAAAATAATTTGATGAAATTGAAATGACAAATTTCTTTTATCAAATTCCTTGATAATGTTTTGTCTACAGGATGAACTGATTTTATTCCATCAAATTCCATAGTTGAGGGATTTGATCATTCCTTAGCGTGAGTGAAGGAATTGAATTTTATTTCACGATAAATGTTATAATTTAATTTTAAAATACAAAAATAACTTTTGCATCCAATTTAAACACCACCCTCATCCCCCACCGTGTGTCAACATCTCAGCCCCCACCACCGTCATTGTCGTTGCCACCACCATCACCATCACCATCGCCAATTAATATTATTATTCCTCCACTTCTCACATACATTAACTACTGCTTGCGAACATATATCAAAAGTGGCGATACTAAATCTATGTAATATACTCGAACCTAGACTTAGCTGGTTAATCTTCAGTCTCAAGCGATACAGTAGTCAAAAACATTTTATCAGCCAATAGTATTACCGACCAATGGTTATATACCTTCACTGCCATCGTCAATAATACCCTCTAATCTTGATCTTGGGATACATGTCGATAAATAAAAAACAAATCAGACTTCATGCCTGGTGAATTCAAGAGTTGATATAATAAAACAATACATCTAAAATCAAACTTATCCAAGAATTCCAAAACAATGCATGATTTGTAAACATTGGTGATACGCAATTCAAGACATTACTTTAATTGAACTCAATAAAAGGGTGCGGTTATAAATCCCAAAACGAGGTAAGAACCCATATGGGTTATAACTACAACATAACCAGAATCAGTGAAGGAGCACTACCCAACAGTCCACATATTGTTAAACTAATTTTTGTATAATCACCATAGACGTTGTGTCCTACAGACATGATGACTATTAGCTGAGTATCTAGCACTCATCCATGCATGATACTCCAATACAGCACTTGTTGGGAGCAACCCATCAATTGTAAAGGGAGTGACCCAATTCAAACGCAACCAAGAGGTGACCCTAAGTCGTTAGATCGAGATCGAATACATTATCACCAGAGTCCACAAATAGCTCAAAACGTCTCAATCATACTAAGTTCGTTTCTCAATATTTTAAATCAATAACCTGCTAAACAAATATCAAGTTTCAACACATCACAGTGCAATTTGGATAGTTCTTCAAAACATTTTTAGCATGCTCGTTTCACTGTCAAATTACTTTGTATATAACATAAATAACCACATTTCGTAACACCATTTAAGTCATGCATGTTCAACCTACAGTTATTGAAACACAAGCAACATGAATTAGTTATGTAAAATACATATGTTTGACTGACTATTCAATAAAAGTCAAAATAAACCAATAACATATAAACACCCAATGTTTATACAACTTGTGTCCCCAAAGATTTAAATATCTTATTACCATGAACGAACCCAGGCTTGTGGTATAGGTGGCACGTGCCACTGTATTATTTCTCCGCCGAAGGGTAAAAAAATTAGGTTTCGTGAACGGTGCAACCGTATTAATTTGTTGTGTGCCACTATGTGTATTTTAAAACTACAATGATAATAAGTTTTATTTGGTAGAGTTGGTTTACAAGGCTTTTATTCCACCCCACACCCAAGTTGGAATCCTGTTAACGTCATTTTCTTAGTCAAATGATGTCATCGTTTGAAAAAAAATTCCGTATATTTGTTTTATTATAGTCAAACTGTGCCACAGTTTGAAAAAATTTCCCAATATTTTTTTCTTATGGTCAAATGGTACCATCGTTTGAAAAAAAATTATAGGTCCGTCTCTGCTTATTATCGATCGTGAGGTTGGGCAAAATCCCAAAACACACTATGACTTGAAAGAAACATTCCTTAACAAGTAATGACACCCAAAATGTGCCCAACAACTCAACCATATGTATTTTTCGAATTATTTATAAAATTCGAAATACCAAAAGTGCTTTAATATCAAATAATCCCATGTAAGAAATAAATCATCAAAATCCACATATTTTATTATTTATTATTAAAATGTGCAAAAAAATTCAATTTTCTCTTGATAAATCTTAAGAAAAACACTTTAAGACTCCAAAAAAGACATTTTTGACATGTTCAAAGTTTTCACAAACCAACTTGAAACTCACTTTTGCTAGGTTAAGTTTAATCTAGTTTTCAACTGATAGTTATAGAAAGAATCACTACTTACACTGTATTGTTCTGCAACTAGATGCGAAAATCGAACAATTTCGTGTCAAGATGGCAAAAAGAACATGGAAACTGTAACACACATTCTGCTTTCACTTATAGGCCAAATGGGTTTCTGGTTTCTTAGCATTTGAATCCATTGTACGAGCAGTTGCTGCTGTTACCGCGGCAGCCTCACGAGCTCTCTTTTCCAGCTAAATCAGACTCCGAGTTGCCATGATTGCTCGAGGAACCAAATCATGACAGGATCTCGCATACGAACACCGAACAACTATTGATGTTGCATTCTTCGCATCATTAGAAGTTGAAGTAGCCATTAAACAGTGGCCCAAAATCCTTAATACTGGCTGTAATAGCTCCCATGGAAGTGGAATTCTAGTCCCTCTCCCAACCACATTGCCCAAATCCCCATCACTGATCTCCTAATTCTTCATTTGTTCCAAAACATTCACCTCGATTTCTATTTCATTTGTACTGATACTATCAGAAATCTTGGTGATTTCGGGTTCTCGGTCGAATTCAGATTTGCAAGGGCACTCTTGTCCGGCCTAATCGACAGCAAACTTACAGAAATCAAGTTTCAACCAATCTGGCATTTGAGAGATCTGCTTGTGGTAACAGTCCAGATCAATCCCTACAACCGTAGCGCGTTTCATCGATTCTATCACAGTTTATGGCTCGAGCGGAGGAGATATGACCCCAATCGTCGGCTGAGAAGAATGATACTAATAATAAGCGTTGAATTTAGCGGAGCTAGGGTTTTGCTTGTTATTGCTAACCCTGGGAGAGTGATAGAGTGACGGCTGATACAGATCAGGGTTGGAAAAGAGGATAGTTTTCCGGCACGAGATTTTGATAAGGCAGGACACCTTTGCTGAATGGTTTTGATGCAGGATGATTAAGATGCTTTCGTGACATAGTGCAAAATAAAATATAATTGTTTGGTAATTGTGGACAATGAAATTAGGGTTCTTAATGGTTAAGGAAGATTCAAGATAAAAAAATCATTCAGATGATTTTAGAACCATTAAAAGACAGATTTTTTTTTGTCAAACAATATTTATCTCTTAACAATTCAGATATTATCTCTTAATTGAATCATTAAGAGGTAAACAAACAACCCCTAAGATTCGTCTCTGCCCAAAATTATTTTGATAAATTAAAAAGGAATTGCAAATTCATCCTTGAACTATTTCTTATTTTGGTACAATAGCAACTAATCAAATAATGGAAGTTAACATTGTGGGATTAGTTCAACTACCAATAAGACTTGGATTTTGGTGATTCTTCTCATAAGTCACTAGTTCGAGTATTACAAGGCAATTGGGGATTTTTTTTTTTTGGTTGTTCTCTAGGATTATTGAGATTAGTTGAGGCATACACATAAGGATGACAAAAAAAAAAAAAAAAAAAAAAAACGTATTCGAAGGGAACCTGATACCCGACCCCGATTTGACTGTAGAATCTCCGAATTTATTAACCAAGGATGGGACCCACCCCAAGTCCGACCCTGAGTGTTAATTATACATTTCTATGTATATATATATATACACACACACACTAAGTGTAATAATATAGTGAGAAACTCAATGAGTATATATAATGCATAAATATAAATCAGTCTTCTATGATGAAAACTTATTTAAAAATTACATTATTGATTTGATTGTTTATGAGAAACTTTTGTTGATATAACAACGTGATTATATAAAACTGTTCAATTATTAAGTATTGTAATTGATGTATTTGTGTTTGAACTACGTTTTTATGCTATCCTTATATGAATGCAACAATACATTTTGGCTAATTAATATTTCAGCATTATATGTCAATTATATTGATTGACTGCCTCCATTATGTTGTTACAGAGGGACTTGAACCCTCGTTGTCTCTGTGAAAAAGAGAAGTCGTTAAACCGTTGGACCATAGGGGCCGAGGGCCAGCATAAGGAAAATACAAAAAACCGGATAGGTGCAAAGGGGCACCCCTTTAAGAGATGAATAGGATCAAACCGAAAGACTCCCATTTTTAATGTAAAATTGATATTTATATACATAATGTATAAAACATTACATAAAAAATTAAACTGTATAGACGTTGAAAAATCCCCTGATTCCCCATTGCAATTCTGATACCTCGACCCCGTTGCCATCTCTACGTGCACAAGCGGACCCGACATCCAAAGTTAAAAGATTATAATAATGGAAAGTTTGAAGTAGACTCATCACTTATGTCTTATTGAACCCGGTTCATTTGCCTTCAAGGGTTCAATATACTCGACCGGGTTTTAATGAACTCAGACCCAGCCACCCAGTCAACCCCTACTGGCCAAGCACAGGGAGACGCTCCCAAATACTCCAAACAACTACACTCTTCGGTATCTCCGCCCTCTTCACTCCCAACCACCGAACCACCCTCCGCCATCTTTACCTCCCACATTGTTAATCTCGCCCTCCTCCACCTCAAATACAAACCCCCCATCATTTTCATCTCCTATACTCTTCTCTGTACAATGGCTTCCTCAGCTCTCTCTCATTCGATCCTTTCTCCACTCAATTCTCACTCCCCAAATCGAACCCTTGATACCGTCTCTGTATCCTCTTTCAATCGAGTTTCTATCCCAAGACTCTCCAGATCCCCCCTGTTATCGACTCAATTGAAGACAAGACAAACCAGTTTCATCGCCAATTGTGCTTCAAATGCGAGTGATAGCTCAAAAGATGAAACCCCAATTGAACTCAGTAAGCTTACTTGCTTTCCTTCGAAGTTTTAAAACCCATGTTGTTCTTTGATAGTTTCTCTCTCTCTAATGTCTCTAATCTCTTGCAGGGTTTCCTGCATTTCCTACGGTTGTTGATATCAATCAGATTCGTGAGATTTTGCCACACCGGTTTGTAGTTTTGCCTGTACATATTACATAGAATCGTTTGATTTCTGTTTGCTTGTTTTCTGTAGTTCCCATTTTTTCTTCACCAGAAATGAATCCTGCTTTTTAACTTATTTGTAGGAATTTTGAAGCATTGTCCGATATCTGATTTGGGTTTTGTTTTTTTTTTTGTTGTTGTTGCAGATTTCCATTTCTTTTGGTGGACAGGGTGATTGAGTACAATCCAGGAGTTTCAGCAGTCGGCATCAAGAATGTGACTATCAATGATAACTTTTTTCCCGGCCATTTTCCTGACAGACCAATTATGCCTGGTGTTCTCATGGTTGAGGTACACCCTTAAAAATCTTCTTCACTTTTAACAGCTGTATGTATATTGCAGTTTTGTTTTCTGAGTGTTCAGTTCTAAATCTTAGACAACTTTCCATTTATTGTGCATTTTGAACTCCTAGTTGACATAGAATCTTGTTTACAATGAATGGATAAACAAATGAGTGGTCTAGATTCTTGAAAGAAAGATATTAGTTGTATTGCACTTTCTTTCTGCCAACACTCACATGGTGTCTTGTTTGGTCCAATTATTACTTTCGTGAGTTGGTGGTTTTTGGATGATTGTATTATGTTGATGTTGGTAAGCTTAAGAAAAATGAAGAGGTAAAAGGGTATATCTTGGCACTGTCATTAAAGGCCTGTTGGTAAATGAAAGGTAGGTTCTTTGATGTTAGGTGCTTCATAGCTTTTTACCGCTCATGGTCACCAAAGTACTCAATCCATTCCAAAAACATCTATTCTTTGCTTTTTGGATCGAAGCCCAGTATCTATATTACTGTTATCTTTAGGGCTCCATGGGATTGTGGAGGTGCATGGAAGTTGGCCCAGACACCCACAGGTATACCAAAAAAAATTCTAATGATCTAATGAGCAAAAAGATAAATTTAAAATGGAACAGTTCAAAAAGACACAAAAATCCATATAGTCGGGGTCATTCCGGAATGGAAATGGTTGGATTTATATCTGATTGAAGCTTTGCTAGAAAGGTCAAGGGTTCAAACCTGTGTATCTGGATATGCATTATGCTACTCATCTACACCTTGTTTTTTTTTAAGTTCAATTTAGTAACAATTTATTCATTGAGAGCCCTTAATTCATATTAATTTGAGGTTAAAAAATGAGCCCATTTGATATTGAAAGTCAAAAATGCTTGTATACATTGAAATGCAAAGAGTAATTTGACGGAGTTGTAGATTCATTTGGCTTAAGCTACACAAGTAGCTAAAACAGTGCTTAATAACAAAATGAATTAGTTAAACTTTCCTAATAGAACAAAACATGAACTCGTGACTTTAAGCATGTTTTAGAAAGTAGGAATAAATGGTCAAAAAGTACCACTTTTTTCGCTCCAATGGGTGATCTAGGCCTATGGTCCAGGTTGGTGACGCGTGATCTCCATTGCACTTGGGAGGGGTGCCAGCCTAAGGTCGGCCCAAGTGGTTGAGCCTATGTCATTAGATAAATGTAATGTTCCCTTTTTCTGCAAAGGTTCATTTCTGAACTATGTTTCTTTTGTCATCACAGAATACCAATAGCTTTGATCATCGTCAACAGGATGCCTCTATTTTTTATGGGTATTTTAGGTATCTGGTTAATCAGTCAAATAATTTATTAGAAAAGGAATATGTATCATTGTGGCTGTTGACTAGATGTCTGGACAAGGATTCTGTAGCCTTATAGCAAACAAGGTTTTTCTACATTCAAATCATAAAATCTGCAAACATTAGTAGAGAAATAATACCCAAGTGGGAAGCAAAGGCAGAAGGAAATTGATTCTAATAATAGCTAGGCAAGTCATCACTTGAAAATGCTTTTCTGAACCCAAATCACCATATCCATGCCCGACTGAGTTGCAGGTTTTTGCTTTCAGTTTCTGATTATGATAATAAGGTTGAGATTTTATATGGGGAAATAACATTTGGAAGTACTGAAATCAAAGAAATATCTTTCTTGCTTCTTAAACTTCTGGTGATTTTGTTTATAATCGATGACGAACCTAAGCACCTCCCATGGGGTTTCGAGGATACCCAAATTTATAATTTGAAAAAGTACCAGAAAAGGCCCTGTGATGAAGTATAAAAGTAATATTTTTTGGCTAATGTCAAGAATGTCGAAAGTACTTCCTTAAGTTGAGGGTTCTTTTTTGATACTTTATTGATAATATCTGCCAACCAAGTTAAAAGACTTTATGTCAAAGTTGATTCTTTTGGGCGTGTAACGTGTTATTTCTACTTTTCTAGGATAATTGCAACAAAAGCCGTTAGGAACAAGGTTCTCTACCCTTTGGGATACATGCAAGATCTGCATGCATCCTACCTTCGGACCCTACCACTGTGTGGGATATATTGGGTTCTTTTAGATTTTATTTGAAAGAATATAACGAAATTGGGTGTATTTGTGTGTAGGCAATGGCACAAGTTGGTGGTTTGGTAATGCTGCAACCCGAAGTGGGGGGCTCACGTGACAGTTTCTTCTTTGCTGGAATCGACAAGGTGAGGTTCAGAAAACCGGTGATTGCTGGAGACACTTTGGTCATGAGAATGACACTCACCAAGCTTCAGAAACGATTTGGAATCGCAAAGATGGAAGGGAAGGCGTATGTTGGAGGCGAAGTAGTCTGTGAGGGCGAGTTCTTGATGGCCATGGGCAACAGTGAGTGATATCTTTCGTTTTCTATAACATCTGTGCTAGTTGAAATTTTGCACATTTTTCGATTTTCTGTTAATTTAAACTGGTTTCGTGCTTTAATTAGAACCTGTATTGAGTTAAGCGAATCCATGGGATTCTCGCAAGAACTTTGTTATAATATAATCCTCGAGGAGATGATATATCTTGAAGTGTTTGAAGCAATGTAGGTTGGTAGAATTTTGAGAACGGAGTTGAGAGAAGATGATGATGGTAACCCCTCGGGTCATTTAGGGACATGACTTTAAATGAGTTTTTAGTTAAATTCATGACCTCTTGATATATTAAAGAAAACATGTATTTATAAATATGAGAAGGTCGTGGGTTTAATTAAAATTTCATTTAAGGTTATATACCTTAAAATTCATGTTCACTGCTTTGTTTATGTGAGGATATGTGGAATCCCTTTGAATCTTTCTAAAGAGATGGGAGGTTCCTGCATATATACTGATTTTGATGGTTCGTGTCTTTGATGTGGCAGTCGGACATTTTATATGTAATGTTTGCGGTTTTGGTTGTAACCATAGATAACATAAGAGCAGTTATTTGGATTTGACCATTTGAACGGCTTTTTGGTGTGAGAGGTGATACTAGTCGAAAGAGAGAAAAGTTTACAAGCCCTTTACTAGTTAAAGCCTAAGGAGGGGTTGTGTAGTACCTGCTAACCGCCTCTTACTGGGTAAGAGGTGTTTACCCGGTAAGAAGGGATGTCCTTTTATCAACACACTAACGGTAACCACAAACATGCTGACAAAGATGCCGACCCAGTTAGGAAGGGGTTGCTTTCTGACTCGGTCATTGTTTAGGTCGATGCTTACCCAAACTGCAATCTTACTCGGTTAGCGCTTAATTTGTGTTGTAAATGACCGGTAATACTGTAGACCTCCATCCAGGAGTGAGTTAAGAGTGTCATATCGGTTAGACAGTTCATCTCTCTTTCTATAACAATTCGTTTAGAAAGAGATTCAAAGGGGTTCCACATATTCTAATACCGGTATTAATCAACTTTTATCTCGATGTATGTTCATCAATCGATGGAATATGTAAAGCATACATTGATGAATTCGGGTTTGTGTGATTTCACTAAATAATTTACATGTTACATAACACAAACACTTTCCCCCTTATAATCCAAGAGCTCCAAGTGGTGTTTTCCCTTGCCCTGCCTCAAAGTAGAATATTAGCATTGCCACCATTGCTAGTCTTGCATGCTTAATCTCAGCCAACTTCAATCTGTCAAGCTTATCGGTGTCGGGAATGTAAACTCCATTCTGGATTGTGCCCGCAAGGCTCAATGGATCGAAGAATTTGCCACCTGGGTATCCTTGTTCACCGGTGTAATTGGTGAAATTCTCAGCAGTTTTGGACCATGGGGTGGCCCACTCAACCGATTGTGATTCAGGGTTGAAGAAATCGACCCATCTCTTGCTCTCAACCCAACCCATGAGGAGGAGTTGGGTGCCCAAAAGACTTCCGAAGGAGAATGGGGCAATGGCACCCGGGTCTGCTCCGGCTTCAAACCATGGAATGCCACTCCATGCCTGGCCCACGAAGATGCCAAGGACTGCAGCCATAGCCCACCTGCCATGGATGAGCTCTGCTTCTCTGTACCATTTGAGGAATGCTGGGTCCTTGCCTAGGCCTAGTGGGTCGAACCCAAAGTCGCCTGGGAGCCTGTGGTCAATGGAATTCAGTGAGAAGTTATTCACAAGGATTCGATCAGACACAGAGAGAGGAAGAGGACTTACGAGCCATCGAGCCATTCTGGGTCAGTCAAGTTCCCACCACCTTTAACGGCGGGGATCCAAGATTTCTTTGGAGCAACAGCAGCGGTGATAACTAACCGCCTAGGAGCTGCTGCGGCGGTAGCACCAGCAATGGGTGCAGACAGCAGGGTCTGGGTCCTCTTTCCACCAGACAAGAAGGGTGATCCTAGTCCATTCAACACAGCAGCAGAGGAAGCAGCTGCCATTGTTGGTCTGTAAACAAGGTTGATTATGGTTGTGGTGGGGTGTGTGTTTTTGGTTGAAGGGTATGAAATTATATGAGGGTGGTGGGATTAAAAGGGAAGAAGTGAAGGGTAGGATGAAGAGAAATATTGGATAGATTCTTGGCCAATGAGATGAAAGGATGGTGATATCCATCTGACAACCTTCCATCCACTTGTATCATGTGGTCACCTCTACTTCACTTCAGGTGGTACCCACCTTAACTCCCTCTCTTTCTAGAATCTACTTGAACAATCCAACAATTCAAATGCACTTTGAAACATCTCAACTTGTATGAGATGTTTTAAGGGTATAACCCTAAACCTTAAACCCTAAATTGATAAATTGATCTCTATCCGGGCCTACCGTACTTTCATAAATTGATCTCTGCAACGGATATCATCATATTCAAATTCAACCCGACGACGAGTGGAAAACAGCATTTAGAACCCTTTTTGGCCTTTACAATTGGTTTGTAATGTTGTTAGGAACTTCCAACGCACCCAACACCTTCATGAGAATGATGAACCATGTACTCCGCCCTTTTATCGGCTCCTGTGCAGTATTACATTTCGATCATATCCTGATCTATAGCCGAGACAAAACCGAGCACTTGGGACACCTCCAACAAGTCTTGACAACCCTCCAAACTAACAAATTGTATGTCAGCTTAAAGAAGTGTTGTTTTTTGTACGACAAGACGGAATCAAAGTCAAAAATGAAAAGATAGTACGATACAGAAATGGCCGACCCCAAAGACCGTAACATTTCACTGAGGAAGAAATACTAAATCGAGTCCGTTCACATTATCACGGAAAAAGGGTATGGCTTATAGTAAATATTGACCAACTTAGCCACCTTTTATCGACGGTTCATTCAGGATTTTAGCATCGTCATAGCCCCTATCACCGAGTGTCTCAAAAAGGACAAGTTTTAAAGGGGTTTCGACCAAGATCACAACTTTGCCCAGATGTCAGATGAAAGAAAAACTATGTATCGCTCCCGTTCTTGCACTCTGGGACTTCGACAAGGCTTTCAAGGTCGAATATGATGCTAGCAGGATAGGAATTGGAGTTGTCGTGACACACCCAAGCAATGATATTTGGCCTTTCCCCAGATGGCCAGATCGAGTTCGCGCAGAACAGCACGGTACACACCACCGCTGGTCACTCGTTATTTTCTTTAGTCTACACTTCCACACCCAAGAACGTGGTTGATGTAACTAAACTACCACGACCATCGGGAACAAGCACTGCTGCAGAAGATATAGCTAAAGATATACAAGCAACCAGGGAAGCCGTTAAAGCAAAGTTGATTGTTCAAAATATGAATGAAAACGAAGTTGGTTTTCAATATTTGTGCAATTTGCTCTTTTTCTAATGACCATACTATTTGTAACCAAAACTAAGGGGTTGTTTGGTGGTTGGTTTTTTTATTAATTCATGTATGGATTAAGTTGTCTGTATAGATTAAGTTAAATTAATGTTTGTTTGTTGTCTTGAATAAACTGTCTGAATGATCTAAATGTCCATTTCAACCCCTTCAACAAAGGACGGTGGTTGAACAGAAAATGGCGAAATGGAGAATGTGAAGCGGAAGGGGAGGAGTACCATTAGTCCCAAATTTCATTACAATTTTTGACGCATTTTGCCCTTTTTTAAACACATGGTTTTATAATATATATATATATATATATATATATATATATATATATATATGTAATTCAACGACATATGAAAGATTATACCAATTCAATTATGTCCAACTGTAATTATTTCCGTAATCCACTCCTCTAGATACTAAACACTTAAAATATCTAGATGGTCAATATATCAATTGAAAAAAAAAACAATGAACAGTTGATTTGCATATCTATGATGTTTTTCTAGGGGTGATCATAGGTGGGTACCCGCCATATTTGACAGGAATCGGAACCGGAACCGAAACCGGAACCGGAACCGGAACCTGCGATTCTTGAGATATTGGAACCGGAATCTATGTAATTGACATAATTAACATCTACAAGGATAGAATCGAAGAAACAAACTTCGATATTGCAGATTCTTCGTGATACTAATTCTGATTGAGGCTTGCACAATCGCAGTATCCTAAGACAAAAATTCGCCGGTATAATTGGCATTCGTCTAGATGATACAACAATCGAATTCAAGTTTACACTTGAATCTAGAGAAATTAAAGTTTACCTATTAGATTAAAAAATCAACTCATCCAAAGGCTCAGAAGTATTCTCACATTCTCAACAAAAAATTTATTTTAATACGACCTCAAATATCTCTGTATATAAGGTGCGTGTGAATCTAATACAGAAAAATATCCAACCCCTCAAAAACTTGGAAGGTTTCATTAATGCTACGCCACAACTTGTTGGACATCGACTTGACAATTAACATGTGTTTGCTTAACTTTATTTGTTCCCGTCTTAAAATATAAAACGATTGAAAGTTTTGTTTGGTCTGATTTAATTTCATTATAGAATAAGTTAAAAACAATCTCAAATGATGGACATGTACGCATTTTCTGTTTACCAACTTATTTTTCTAGATCGATGATTGATTTCAAAACCAACTCAAATATAATCAGATATAATAGGTTGGGTTCACGTGAGACCGGTCTGTTTTCGTGAGACCACTTTTTACACTTGAAACTTCACAGCAAAACGTTGTGAAGGTACAAAAAAGCCGAACTATCACAGCAAAAACACTGTGAAGATTACCTTCACAGCGTTTTGTTATGAAGTTTCAAGTGCAAAAAAGTGATCCAATGAAAACAGGTTGTTCTCACATGATCCCAATTCCTGATATAATTGCATACGTTATTTTTAATATATGATTGCAAATTTTAAAAATTTGCTCTTTTTCTAATGACCACACTATTTATAACTAAAACTAAGGGGTTGTTTTTTATTTTTATTAATTCATATATGGATTAAGTTGTCTGTATAAATTAAGCTAAATTACTGTTTGTTTGTCGTATTGAATAACTTGGCATCCACATTAGTGGATGGTTTTTTTTTTTTTTTTTTTTTNTAAGGGTGTCCGGGCCAAAGCCCGACTAATCCCCGGTAAATTTGGAGGCTAAACATGGCCCCATTTAAATGTCGCCAACACTCCCCTCCTAGGGCTCGAACTCGGGTTCATGACTATGTCATGCCCAA